GCAGATCAGCAAAATAAAGGTTTGATGAGTGTTTGCGATAATTATATTGCATGTATGAAAATGTAAAACACAATATAATATACCAAGGTCACAATCCAATGAGAAATGAGTAATGTCATAATAAACACTTTTAAAACCCACAAATTCTGAAACCGTTTCATGATAACGAGAATTATTTGCAAAAGCGAATTAAAGAAGCCTGTTTTTGTGGTTGTGAAATCTTAGATTATACATTTAGTTTGGATTTAATATATTTCGCTATTAAAGCTTTCGTGACAAATGGAGCGCGTGACTTTGTATAACTGTGGTTTTTCTGATTAGTTTTGGCAATCATCGCATCTTAAGGTCAAGATGCTGAGAAGATTTTCCAGTTAATATTTATTGGCAAATTCTTATACATTTAAATATATATGACAGATATACATAATGTAATATAATATAATATGAATATGTATGTATATAGTATATAACAATAGCCTTTAGTAGTATTGACATAAAATTGTTTCTAACTAACACGTGAAAATCCTGCCCAAAACTAAGGAGAAGTGCGCAAGCGTTGGATTCGCCGAAAAGTATATATCGAAACATGGGAAATTTAGATTTTAAAACGTTTGTTAAACAATTTTAAGTTGCGCTGTTATCGAAAAAATGTGTAGAAATAGTAGTTTTAGAAACAAAATTAAGAAACCAGGCCGAGTTGTACGAAAGGTGGATTAGTTATCCAGTAGATCAGTCATCAGTCCTATCCAATGGAAAACTTTCCCATCCAATGGATAGCAATACCGATATCCTATGCAATGTATAGCATGAATCTGGCGAATAAAGATGATTGCGTTGTACTAAGCACGGATAGCAGGGTGGATATAGCTATCCGTCGGATAATCCAGCTGAGGAATAACCTTAATTTTAACCGGACAAAACCGGATTTCCCTGAATTTTCTTATCTCTATACGTCAGCTGTTGTTAGGCATTTGTAAACTTTTGTTGTAGTATCTTCGTATGACTTGTGAATTCCACTAACTTTGAACTATCAACTTGCAATAGAGGATTTTTGTTCATGTTTATATTTGGAGTTTTTCTCGTCCAATCGTTGCAATACCTGTACTTCGTAACTTCGTGTTCTCACAGTGAACAGTTATTGATATGTCTTTAAAAGATTATTGGCTTCTTTGTGCGAAGACAATAGCAAAGACTGAGAGTTTTGTTTTCTTGTTTCAGTACGTTGATTCAGTTTTATTTTATATGCTGTACGACTATTTGTTCTTTGACCTTTCAAGATTTGATTGGCTGATGAAGGAATTAACGGCGAGCGAACAAAATTGCTTCTACTTTTGGCGCCTGGTTGTCTATTTATATGTATATTTGTTTGGAGTTAAAGGAAAGTCATTGTTTGTTTTAAGAACTAATGAAAGTTTTATTGCCTGTTTCAAGCTATATAATAGAAAGAGAGAAGGAAACAAGACAGAATACTTAACGTCCAAGCACCGACACTGCCGGGACTGGTCTGAGCAAGTGAGCTCGGTGTACGTCAAGAGCAAGAGAAGTCATAAGTAAGTTTCCATGTTTATTTAGTGTCAAAAAAGGGACTTCTAAACGGTATTTGTCCATTTCTATCACATTAGCAATCCCTTTTATATGAAATACACCATGTTTTGTCTTCAAATTTCGAGTTTATCCGCCGGATAGTGGATTTCAACGAGCTCCGGACCTGACATAAATTTATCCAACGGATAGTGCATTTTTATCCGTTGGATGGCGCTATCCAAGCTTCGTACAACGCGATTTTCACTCCAGATAAAATTTATCCGCTGGATAGCGACTTATCCCCCGGATATCGATTTATGCAGCTTTCGTACAATCAGCCCCAAAAGTCCAAAATGGAATTTGGAAATAGGACTTTCTTTAGTTTTGCTTTGCTAAATCAGACATCTGTATAAATATTTAATAAATTCGAATTCTGTTTAAAAAGAGCCTTAGAGGAGAAGTTGTGAATTTCAGTTAAAATGAGGAACGAAGGCCAGACAGCTTATCAAGTGGATTTAATTATAACTGCATGAATATACAACTTTTTCGTGTTATTATAATGACCAACAACAAGGCTTGACATTCTTGATTCACAGAACGACGTACGTTTCGGAGTTTACTCCATCATCATGCAGGTTAAAATACTACAATACATCGTCTAAACAGCTAGCGACTATAACTGTGTAAAAACAAAGAAAAACATTTTATTTCTTTCTACACTATAACTAGTATACGGACAAAAAATTGAAACAAACTATTTTTCATTAAAAACTGTTCATGCATTGCAGCTAGATAACACTGATGAGCATGCAACATTATAAATAGTTCCCACTAAATTGCGTCAACGCGAGAGCTTGTAGCAGCCTGCACAAATTTAGTCATGGAGTCAAGCTTTTTGAATATTGTGGCTTAGAATAAATATTTTTGGTCGCTTATATCTTTGAGGTTATCACGCTATGGCGAAGGGGCATTCAAATTAATTATATACCTAAATATGTTTCTGTTCATGCACATCATTAATTGAATCATGTTATATATATTATAAGCATTTGAAGTCTATCGAAAAAATGCTCCTCAATCTCTTCTTCTTTAATTTATTCCAGCGTTCACTGTATTTGCATACTATTTTACTGCATTTTATGCTAAATAAGTCATTAGTTTTCTTGTTTATTGATTTTTATCACGAAAGCAAACCATATCAATTAATAATCCATCATTTGCCTCGCGATCACGTTTAATATTTTGCGGTGGGAAATTATTGTAGATTTGTGGACTTAAAAAATATCCTTGAATCCTTAAGAGACACTTGAAGGTTTTCGACATATTTTTTTCATATTTTCCTTAAACAAGCTGAATGGGATCACTTAAAAATATCAGGATTTTGAGCATTGCACTCGGCAGAATGAAATATTGAAGGGCTTTGTAAATGGAGATTTCAATTGTAAATTTTATTTTCGTTAGCCATTTATTGTCAATATTTCTTCACATGCAAATGACGGGTTTTTCTCGGTCCCAATGATTTCTTTAATACAATACTTAATTTATTATATGGCAAGCATCACTTCCGGTAAAATGGCGGACTTTAAATATCTGTGATTGGCTGAAAATCACTTTCAGCGGTCCATTATTTTGCCGTAATCGACCGGCCGTCCATTACGTAAAAAACAAACGCATGCATTAAAAAGAAACAGCAAAATTAATAGAAAATTTGAAAATTATAATTTAGTTTGTTATTAATAAGATCTCTGCGAATGGTTTTAAGTGGAAAGGAAGGAATACATTTCTATTTTTTGTTTTCTTCGATCAAATGTGTACCACGCTACTAATATGCATTTCAAATCATGCATTTCTTGTTGGTTTCAAGTATAAATGCCTATAAATGCCATATAATAAACTTTTTATTAACCTCGCTTGCTAGGTCTTTACCGCGAAATATCGGACCTCGGTCTTTTTTTGTAACAAACCTCACCCTACGGACTCGATCTGTACAAAAAAGACCTCAATAAAGACTTCGCGCTCGGTTAATAAGAAGTTATTATTATATGGCTTTTCAAAATTTTCTATTCTGATTGGTTGACAAGCGGCCGTTAAAACGCATATCCTGACCGTGGTCCGTATTTTCCGTATCTGGACCGGTGTCCCGGATGTCGTTTATCTCGCGGGGAATTTTTGCTTTGCAAACAGAAATAAATTTTTGCTTTTTAATTTTCCAATTGTGTGTCATTAAAATATACAGATAAAAATTTCAAAACAACCAAATTGTTTTTGATTGAGCATACATGCCTACCGTATATTGTTACCCAGTGATACTGACGATAGCCGATTTAATTCGCGCCAAAAGCATATGCTCACAGACTCAGTTCAGCCATATAATAAACCGATTATTGACCTCGCTTGTTCAGTCTGTACTGTGAAATATCAGACCTCTGTTTTTTGCATAGACCTCGCTCTTTCGTCGCTCGGTCCATTCTAAAAAACCTCGATCTGATATTTCACAGTACAGACCTCACGATCGGTCAATAAGCCGTTAATATTATTATTACCCCTACTCAGCAAAAACTTTGTTAAGCGGAAGCGAGCACTTAACATGAGGTTTCAATTATTAACCGAATAACCTCTGTTGAGCGGGAAAACCTAACTAATGGATGTATGTCAACAATTAACGGTAAATACAAATTAGACACTGATGTATTTGTTATTAACGTTTCGCAGTATAGCTTTGTAGCATAAATGGTAATAACTTGAACTAATATCCTAAAACAAACATTCTTTAATTTGTCTTTCAATTTGTTGTTGCAATTTCCTCGAAATATAAATGCTCAAGATAGAAAATAAAATTTATACAGTTCATAAAAACGTGTTTTTTTAATTTTCGCGAAATGTTGAAATTCTCAAATGCGAAACATGAAATGTGTTTACCACCCTCACTCTCCTAAGTACAAATTTACAACCGAAATTTTCATCTACAAAACCTTTCAACATCCATATAAGTTAAAAGCAATGCACACCCATCAGAGCCGCTGAGAGGAGCGACGGGGGGTGGGGGTGTTCATTAACCCGGTGATCAGTTAACTGAAAGTGGGCCTCGAAAGCAACGAAGGCCCTTAAAATTTCTTGATTGCTTAACTGAGAAAGAAATCGTAGCTGCGTTAGTGCCGAATAATATGAATATAATGCATTGCCATTTGAAGATGAGGAGGATAAACAAGACATGTCGAAAGTTCTAACGCTTATGGATCAGTATTGTATTGGTCAAACAAACGTTATTTACTAACGTTATTGCTTCAATAACAGAGACCAGGAAGCCGGTGAATCGTTTGATTCATATCTCACAGCTTTGAAAGCCCTCTCAAAGACGTGTAATATATTGTAACTGGCCGACGATCTCATCCGTAACCGTATTGTTTGTGGAATACCAGACGGCCAGGGATTCGGAAAATATTTTGCAAGAAGCTAAATTAACTTTTCAAAGATTCATGGATATATGTCGTTCTGCGGAAGTAACAAAAGCCCAAGTGGAAGCGCTGGGCGTTAAAGTGGAAGCACGGGAATTCTCACCTTTGATCAGCGAGGAGGTGTATAGCGTGAAAGACAAACGGAATAGTCGCAACCCACAACGCCGTACTGTACAGTTCGTAGAATGTAAATATTGTGGCCGAAAGCACGAAAACGCCAGAGAGAAATGTAAGACATGCAACAGGTCTGGTCGAATGAATCATTTTGCGCTAGTGTGCAGGCAAGAAAGTCGTGGAAAGGAGAGAAACAGTCCATCAGGTGACAGAGAGAGATCTAGAGCAGCCAAATTGAAGAGATGATGAAAACTGTTTTGTAGTAAATTTGAAAGCAAATGCAAAGAGAAGGAAATAGCCGGTCGTTTAAAGAAAAAATCTTTGCTACTATGCGAATCGATAAGAATTTAATTCGTTTTCAAGTGGACAGCGGGGCCACGTGCAAAGCAATAAGTAAAAGATCTAGAGCTGCAGCCGAAATTGTTCAATAACACACTGGATTACTGAAATCGATCATATGTTTAATGGAGCACCGATGACGTCCGTGAGAAATGTTACGTGAATCAAAATGTGAGAAGGAGTTTCATCTTGACATTATATTAATGAAAACGCAACACCTATAAAGTTACCTGTACGAAGATTTCCCGTAGCCATGAAATCGAAGTCGAAAGAAGAGTTGCATCGTCTGGAGAAGTTTAATTGTGAGTCCGGAGATACGCCGACGGACTGGCCATCAAGTCTGGTGGTAGTCAAAAAGCCTAGTGGGAAATTACGGGTATGTATTGATCACAAACCACTAAATATGAAACTCAAGTGAAGTCTTTATCCATTAACAGTAATTGATGATCTCCATCCTGTTTAGCAAAGGCCAAGCTTTCAGGTTCAAGATGTTAAAAAAGGATTTTAGCATGTACGTCTGGACGAAGAATCGAGTTTCCTAACAACGTTCGGTACTCCGTTCGGAAGATTTCGCGGGTTAAAAATGCCATTTGGCATCTCTCCTGTACCAGAGTATTTCCAGAATCGCTTGGATCAAACTATCGAGGGTCTTCCGGGAGTTCTGATAGTTTCGGATTATCTTAATTAGTGGGAAAGGAGATACGCTATAAGGGGCAATTCAAGATCAAAATGCAAAACTTTTGGCACTGTTGGGTGGATGCAGAGAGACGGATGTGAAGTTGAACAGAGAAAAGTTCAAGCTCAAAATAACCGAGATTCTTTATGTTCGTCATTTGCTGACGTCAAATCGATTGAAACCAGATCAGTCCAAAATCGAAGCTGTCCAACAGATGGTTCGTCCAGTCGATGTGAAAGGCGTTCAACGATTGATTGGTTTAGTAAAATATTTAGCAAGATTTTTGGTTGGATTGGCAGATGTATGTGAGCCTATTCCACAATTGGCGCGCAAGGGTAGAGATTGGCGGTGGAATGAAGAACAGGAAAGTGGTTATGTGAAGATCAAAGAACCAATCGTAAGTGCCCCTCTTTTGAGATATTTGATTCGTCATTGGAAACGAAGTTACAATGTGATGCTTCCGACATTGGTCTTGGAGCCTCGTTGATGCAAAATGGCCAAAGGTGGTATATTCTTCACGTTCACAACTATACTCAAATTGGTTTAGTCAGTACACTTATAGACGTAAAGTGATTGTGAAAGCGATCACAAACCACTGGAAAGTGTATATGTATGCACGAAAACTTTTGTCGCTGTACCAAAGAGATTACAGAGAATGCTGTACACCTCCATAAATATGATCTGAAGGTTGTTTCAAGCCGGGTAAGCATATATATGCGCGTTAGCTGATACGTTGTCTCGAGCACCGGTTACGACTGCTGGACCAAGTTCGGAAGTATTGGCTGTTCAGAAGCAGATAGATCGAAGGTATCAAAATGGAGGATTTCATGCTTATTCGTCAGCATAAGGGTGAACGAGCTCTTGATATATTGATATATTGATTCGAAGGGATCAAAAGACAATAAAAAGCTAGCGGGTGATAATCAGTTATTCAGTTGTGTGTCGGGGATGGAATTGTAGGCTATACTAATAATACTATGGTAATCGGTGTGGCTCTTAGAGCAAGTATTCTGCCCCAGACAGTCATACATGTGGGTATATATGGAAGGGTGTCTAAGCCAAGCCTGAGAAAGTATTTATTGTCCGGGGATGAATGGTGGCAGTAAGGAAGTTCGTGAGCAGATACGAAGTATGTCGTGCGTGCGCAGTTGCCCATTCGAAGGGGAAGTTATAACCTCATGAAGTTCCGAGTAAACCCTGGTGCAAAGTTGCAGTGGATCTTTTTTAATTGGACCAGGGACAGTATTTAGTGACGTGAGATTATTACAGTAATTTGTGGGAAGTAGATTAATTGGAATCGAACGCAACGTCCAAGACAGTCATCGGAAAGTTGCGACAACAATTCGCGCAGTCGAATGGGATGGTAGAATGTGCCGTCAAGACCGTTAAAAAGAACTCAAGGGGCTGGTTGTATAAAAACGTCGTTAACTTTAAGTATGATTAGCGTTAATCACTGTAGTTAAATCCTTAACTATAATTAGTTGATTACACGACTTAATTGCGTTGCACAAAATGTAGTTTGTCGGGTGATTAACTAATCACTTATTAAACAGTAAAATTACATAAAGTAAAGACTGATTAATGACCGCTTACAAGCATGATTGTGGACTCGCATTTTTCAAATAAGCGGGAATTTTATTCAAAATAATGAAAAATAAACAAGAAAGCAAGGAAAAGTCAAGTAAGAAGGACATTTGAACTTGAGATGTCAACGTTAATGAAACCAAAGTGTAACTAGTTGTTTGGCAATTATACATCCTGTTTCTTCGTGTAATAGGCCCTACGTCGTCTTCAAAAAATCTTCCCGCGCAAAAATATATCAGTTGTTTTTGCCAAAAAACCAAAACAATCTATGGCGTTTGAAGAGTTTATATTGTCAGAAAACATTCACAGAGAATATAGCGATTGAAAATCCCAGGTCAGCATTACTTTTCATCATTGTTTTACTGGAAAATGTTGTTCCCTCCTATACTAGCGCCATTTTTAACAACGTTTTGAGAAATTAACGATACCCTAAGCATCTTTAAATTTAACTCCGTTTTAACTACGGTTAACGCTAACTACTTTTTTATTCAACCGAGTTAACTACGGTGATGAGAGTAAATCACTATTTAACTACAAAATAGTGATTAAAAAAGTGATTAAGAGTTTTATACAACCGGTCCCTGGTGAAGAATGCTAAGATGTTGTACGTGGACAACGCTGCCTTCGGAAAGTGCGTTGTTACAGCCACATGCTAGTTACAAGCGATGCATAACTACAACAAGCATGTTCGAGACCAACCGTCGTTGAACGAATGTAATATGGTACGAGTACAGTCTGTGGATCGTCCTAATAACCTTGACTGAAAGCTCAAGGCAGAAAGCTCAACTTTGCGCAAGTACAAAAGGAAGTGGGATTGAGGTCTTATGACGTTTGCATGAAGAGAGGTGCTGTGCTCAGGAGAAATCGACGACATCTAAAGAGAACTTAAGAGGAGTCGTGCAAATTCCAAGATCAATGACTCTGACGAATGAAGTGATGCAAGAACAGAACCACGTTGGAATATTGATGTTGTTACAGGGAAGGATGGAAGGACATGCACGTAATGCATCGTGATAGAACAGATTTCAGTTTAATTAATCGCCCTAAATTAAAATCTCCACAAGCGGAGGTCAAATTATAGTGTTCTAGTTTACATATTATCATTAATGATAAGGTTAATTCAAAGAGCGTATTAAACTGGATAAACACGAGAATAGAACTTATGGTGTGTTCTGCACATGCGTATATCTAGGATAAAATCCCACAAGCGCAAACGAAACTATTTCTCTATAAAGTTGAGCTGAAAGGACTCACAGTGACCGTTTTGGCAGTGCTTCAGGCGCCCGATGATATTGTATGAGGGGCCTTTAGTACTGTCAACTTCTCATCTTGAGATGTTCACGTTATCGCGTGTACTTGTCAGAATGACGAAGGATTGCGAATAATGTCTGTGTGCACTGATACACGCTGCTTTATTTTTAATAATGCTGTGTGCACGCTGCATTATTTTTAATAATGCTGTGTGCACGCTGCATTATTTTTAATAATGCTGTGTGCACGCTGCATTATTTTTAATAATGCTGTGTGCACGCTGCATTCGCTGATATAATGCAGAGAGAAAACAATAGGTTATTATGACCGTCAGTAATTATTTATGAATAAACGTTGACTAACATAGATAATGAGTTATATTGTTATTCTAATGAGTTTCACAGCCATCTTCCCTTCGATAGGCTATGGTTGTAGCGTTTAGGAGTTTGTCATTCGTGCTTGTAATCGTCGTGAATAACGTTCATGTCCGTACTTGTTGTACTGTCCGTACTTTATACGAACTGGCACGAAAAGGAGTAAAGGAGTTTTAGATCAAATTTAGATTTGAAGGAGTTTTATATCATTTATCAGATTTAAAGGATCTATCGATTGAAACAATCTTAATTTTTATTGTCGTATCCTTTTAATGCAATGCAATGCGACCAAGCTTGTTCCGCAATTTTTGGATGAAAAACAAAAATAGATGACGAGAATAAAATATGTAATACTTCACCAAATTCATTCATTTGCTTCTTCCAATTATTCAGTATATCCAGGCAGATGCCCATGAAACATATGGCGGACAAGGCCTGTTTGCAAACCGTGGGAAAGGCTCATCAGTTAAATTCCCACGTACCAGATAAACGATCATGTTCAACGTTCAAAAAGTTCAATATACTGATATATATGGCGGTTATTACAACTTAAGCTCTTTTTCGGCGAATTTTATCGGAGCATTATTGATGGTCAGAAAGATTTGTTATCCGGCTAGAAATTAAATAATGGTTTATGTGGCTTTTTATCAATGAAATAAACCGGTAGATTCTTGCCTAGACTTGGTTAGTAATCTCTTAAATGAAACCACAGTTCACTGTCGGCTAAACGATGTCGGCATAATACGTGAGCTTGAAAGACTGCAAGACCATTATAATGCCGTTTCGGGCGTTACGACTAACAATATGACCAATTTGATAATTAAAATCTAAATCAACTAGATAATCTTTGCAAGCTTTTTATGGTATATAATCTTTCTATCATGTACAATTTTTCTCAGTCACTATCGGTTGATCAAATTCGTTTGATTAAAACAAGATTCGCAGAATTTTGCGTTGCTTGTTGATCTGTTTATACTTTACCAAAGCTATTAAAGTAAAAAAAGTTTTTTTATTCCAGGCCTTGGGGTTTCATCTAGCCATGCAAAACCAACCAAATAGTACATCGGGGAAGATGGAGAACGGTCCACCGGTAAAAGTTTTGAATGAACGTAATTTGACAATTGTGCGAAGAATTGCGAATGACTGGCAAAAACTGACACCAAAACGGCAGACAAGGAAACGTTACATGAAGTATGAGGAGATGCTGATGCAGGAAATCCCTGGTGCGAGTAAGAAGACGAATCAGGCAATGCATGCAGTACTTGAGAGTGATCTGGAGGATACTGAAGATGATAGAGGGAAGGGAATGGGCGCAACAGTTAAAGTCAGGTAAACTTTGATCTATTTCAACTATTACCTTTGACTTCTATAGAATTCGCACTTGGAAGACTCAATGTTGCAAGTGTCTGATGTCATGCAAGTGTCCAACGTTCTAATTATGTCACTTTCCTATTTAAGAACAACGGATTAGAAGATTAACATATTCCTTCGCAACGAAGAAATACATGGGTAGAGATACAGTTTGACTTACTGGTTTTTCATGTTGCAAAAATCAGACACGTTACGTTTTGTTTTATTTTATAAGATTTGCCACACACAAACATAAATACCACTAAACTATAAAATACAACTAATTACGCAATGTTACAGAATTTACATACAGTACGGGCAGGGACTGACTGATAATTTTGTGTTGTGGGATAATGACTGTAAATAAAGATCTCAGTTCATAATAATATGGACACAGAAAGTTATACACATGTATGTCCGACTTTGTGTGAATACTTTGCTCTTAGCGCAATCACAGTTAATATATATGACATGGTTTAGAAACCCTTTGTTTTAGGTGATTGTGTACCTTGTGCTGGGTCACGGTTGAAAAATCCTTTGTCTTTCTATTGTTTTGACAATAGTCAGTTCAGACAGCTTGGCGTAAGGAATGGGTACCATGCAACTGCTTGTTTTGCCTACCAGAGCTATATCTTACGGCATATTTTGCCAATAACGAAGTATTACTACCATATTTCGATGGAGAATGTTTGTAGTGTTACATCGTTTGGTCAATTCTCATTGATTAAAACCAATATGTGCAGGGTCAAACAGACTGTTCAACCTCCATGTTTGTTTATAGCGTAATTTTTTTATAAGTTTGCCAGGTTTCCTAACCAGGTATTATAACAACCATGCACAAATGAACGCCATGTTCCTTGCCATCTTAATTAAGGGAAGGCCGTCGGCTGTCACACCCTGAAAACATCATAATAGCGGCTTCGTTTAGACGTTCAATATTCAGGGGTGTGACCCTAGCTATGTCGACTGTATTGCGAACGAGTTGCATGCCGTTACGGCGGGTTTCGGCTGAGTCGGACATCTGTAACGTATTTACTCTGCGATATGAGCCTGATGTAAGATAAGAGTGCTATATTTGATGTTGACAAAAATTTAACAAATTTACAAGATAGAAACAATACAAAATATTTTAATGCTAATACGTTTGATTCCCTTTGGATGCTCTGATGACATGACTAATTTGATAATGATGTTTGTGATGTTATTCGGATTGTGCATCCACGCTGGGCAAGCTGAAAAGTCTGTCTGACCACGGTGGGAATCGAACCCGCGACATTTGGGATACTAGTCCAATGCTCTACCAGAGTCGCGGAATTCGATTCCCACCGTGGACAGGCAAACGTTTCAGTTTGCCCTGTGTGGACGCACAGTAACATCACAAACATCGTATTAACCTGAGTACATAACACCAACACGCACAAAAATCATTGATATCTTAGAATTCATTGATGTCGAAGCAACCAGACTCAGTTCCGAAATATCACCAACTTGAAGCTACTTGACCTCGTAGCTCAGTTAGTATAGAGTATTGGACTAGTATTCCGAAAGTCGCGGGTTTGATTCCCTCCGTATTCCAAAGGTCGCGGGTTTGATTCCCACCGTTTCACTCACTGGTTTGTTACAACTTGTGTGTTTTTACGTGTGATAGTGAATAGTAATATTCTTTTAATTAAACTATACAATTTAACTCCTATAAAACAACAACCTTTCGGGACTGAGGCACACAAATGCCCGGGTTGCTCAAGAGAGATTATAATAATAGTGTTGATGGTTTTTGGTAGATGGGATTTTGAAGGAAATGTTTATTTACAAGTTTCAGAACAAGCACTCTCGGGCAGTGATCGAACTTGCGGTCCTGCGATTCCTGTGCAACACTCTGACCAACTGAGCTACAGAGACCAGATCGATGCTGAGGGGCTGTTGTGAAAAATACAATAATGGGAATTCTCAGAAATACTTCTCATGATTATAGGTGTAATAAATGTATAAAATTCACGAAATTCCCATCTCTACAAAAACCGTTGGAGTGTTTGTGTTGGCCACCTTAAATAGGACGGGGATGGCAAACATGCCAAACAAACTCGTTGAACCAAATGTTTGCAGAAGAAAATCTGTCGTGTATTCTCCGTCGTATGAAAATAATACAGTTTAAGGATAAAGATTTACACAAGGTTTATGATTGGGAAAAGCTCTACGAAATAATTTAAATAGCAATTGTCCCAGCTTGAAATATAAGCGTTGTATCCAAGACGTAATAATCTATATTTTGCCGTTGTAAACAGAGTAGCGGCTACGTCTAAAACTTCTGTAGGGTTTTAATTGTTAATTTTGTTTACTTTTTTTTATTTGCCATCACACTATATACATTCATTGGCTTATACATTCATGTGACTTCAATAGTTATACGAAAAACAATTTACAAGCTGTACTAAAAACACAATAACAATACTTGAACAACAGTCATTACATTATGTTCGAAAAACAGCATGACAGCATGTCAATGTATGGAGAGTTCGTTAAACTGCGAGAGGATTGACATTTTTTGACGCACTTCTCCATGTGAGGGGATCCTCAACATCGTATGTATTTTTAATACTAATATATAGTACTTAAAAAGAAGATTCTTGAATTCTGAAAATGTTCGGTCTTTCGATGCAATGTGATTAGGTATAGTGTGTTCCATATTCTTGTTGCTAGGATTTTGTAATTTCTGCTCATTTTCTTGCATTAATATGATATCAATAACCGTCATCGTTGCACTTTTGTCCTACCTGTCGAGGTTCTTAATAACTGTAGTTATTTATAATTTTAAAAGACAGTGGAAAATTTAAAGCACTTTCTTGTCACGCCCCCGTGCTATAGATTAAGCTTTGCTTAAGTTGCTATTCTATTTTCAGGAACCATGCATTGATCCACTATATCGCGCAGTTGGCAAGTTCAAATAACGACAACGATACATTTGATTTCTCCTTCGTTGAGTCATTATTGAAGAACGGTGCAGATATTAATGCGAGAGATAAACATGGTCAGACAATATTTCATGAAGTTGCAAGAAGTTGGCATTTGGATGTCGCCCAGTTCTTGCTGAAGAATGGTAAATATTGTTACACTACGTTCACACTATACACCAGAGCGAAATAAAGCGGGAAGAATTTACATGTCGGTTCACACTTAACCTGAGTATCAGGCCCTTGGTATTGAAAGAGGGCCTGACACAATTCGCCTCTAAAGCCATGTTCAACATCCAGAATCTGGATGTTATGCATGCTGATTGGCTAAGAGACGATAAAACGCATCATGTGATTCAAACCGGAAATATATGACCGGCGTATGTAAACACCAAAAATAGAATTTGTAATTTTGTCAATATACTGTTAAAAGTGCTTTATTTCTGAAATTTATTTTCAATTAATTAAGCCTAAAAATTACAAAATAAGTACGAAAAGACGTTGAAAACGCTTTTGCAGCAACATTTTACTCGGTATAAAACTAAAACTACATAGTTATAGTAGAAAGCGTGTCTAAATATCTCGCCGTAATAGTCGCCGTAGAACGAAAATATGTGGTGTCGGAAATTTTCAAATATTTAGTTCCAAAAAGCTGAAGTCTGGTTTATCAGTTTATTGCCCAGCTGTTTTCCCAGACCTGCAAGGATATAGTAGTCAGCTCGCTCGAACTAATATGCCAACATCAGGCAGACATTGAAGACAATAGCCGCTGTGTTAGACGCAGTTGAAGCGAATAGCTGTCTCGAATAAACTATTAACATGACACGAGGCCGAGGAAGAAGAAATCCTATTCAGAGCGCCGAATGTTTTCTCTTTCGACAAAAACATACCGATTTTTCTCCGTATTTATTCAAATTTATACAAAACTGCAAATAACGAAATTTGCGTATTTACATACCTGTAGCGGACAACCGGAAATATGCCACGACCGGAAATAATTTTAATTGGCTGATATTCTGGGGGTGGAAAGCCCGTAGAGGCGAATTGTGTCAGGCTCTCTTCAGTACCGAGAGCCTGATACTCAGGTTAGTTCACACTGCGCCGTTACAGTTTGTTTTCAAATTCAATTAGCACTCAAGTAAACCCAAAATATTTCAAAAAGAACAATGAAATTTAAACAAAAAGCATTCGAATATAGCATGAATTGCAATAATTATTGTATTTCATGACTAAAAAACTCTGTAGTGTAAACGAGTCTAAAATGAAAAGAACGTATTCAAACCGTTTGAGCAGCATATGCTGTTGCTGTTTGGGCATTTTTTTTCTTTTACATTCTTTATTTTAACACAAACTTGGAAACTTGCGAGTTGTGCATGCCGCCATTTTGTTTATTTATATGTAGCCTACGTAGCCGCGGTCTGTGCGGGAAACAATTTTTTCACATGCTCCCCGGCGGGATACATTGCATTTATCTAAAACCACGTGATCACAAATCAGCCAATCACGTATGGTGTTCACCCAAGCTATATTTAACAATGATCATTATTTGCATTCCTTCCCATGATATACATGGTGTATAAAAAAAAAGGAGACCTTTAGAAATCAACCATTGTTATAATTTGAATTCTGGAGCACTTGCTAAGCCACGAGTGCGTAAATTCGATCTACGTACAGTATCATGGCAGATTGCTCCCAGGAGCAGACAATCTTTTGTTTAAACGTTATTTCAATTTGTAAAGGTCTCCTTTTTCTCAATATATGCACCCCATCAATATTTCACGCACTACAGTTCAGCATATGTACAATTGAAAAGGCATTCAAATTTTAACAATATGCTTGATTTCTAAAGGTCTCCTTTTTTTATACACCCTGTACATACAGCTAATTCAAAAAAGGTTGTTCTTTGCAAACTTCAAATTAAACTCTGAAACATAAACCTTAAACTCTAAGAGTGCAAAGCATAACGGGAGCATCATTTAATCAGTTTACAAATCATATATGGAGCCCGTTTCTTTGAAACATTGTAAATATCTCCTTACGAGAACAATTCATTCACAAATAGTTGTAATATTCAACTGCTAAGCTTGAAACTTGTGCTCCCATTAAGCTTTGCGTGCTTAGAGTCTAAGGTTTGCAAAGGACAACCTTTTTTCAATTGACTCGATATATATATATATATATATATATATATATATATATATATATATATATATATATATATATATATATATATATATATATATATATATATATATTCTCTCTCTCTCT